GGGGGGAGGAGGAGAGGGATTAGTAGAATCTCGGAACCACATAGAATTGACGCAAAAAATCAATATTCAAACTACACAAACACACGCACGCACGCACCACACCCACACACCATAAAAGACATCAAAAACAGGTAAGGATTCTATAGAGAATCATTTATCACATGGATACCATAGAACAACTTTCTTCAAACTTTATCATCACTAACTTACAAAAAAGGACTTATTCCCTCCCGTTTTTTTTTCTTCTTTCTATCTCTTATCTCCTTTTTTATTATTTATTTATTTTTTTCATATCTACAGTGCTGCTACTGTTATTTCAAGTAGAAGGGTCAGTGATAATTATATTTATCATGCAATGCTGATAAGAAATGTTATTGTTGTAGTAACTAATGAATGGGAATCTTGTGGTGTGTAATTGAGTTATTTTATTTTATGAATGGTGTGTATTTATTCTACATTATCTTTTTTATTAACTAGAGAGAGAGAGAGAGAGAGAGAGAGAGAGAGAGAGAGAGAGAGAGAGAGAGAGAGAGAGAGAGAAGAGAGAGGAGCCGAGAGAGAGAGAGAGAGAGAGAGAGACGAGAGAGAGAGAGAGAGAGAGAGAGAGAGAAGAGAGGGAGAGGGAGAGGGAGAGAGAGAGAGAAGAGAGAGAGAGAGAGAGAGAGAGAGAGAGAGAGAGAGAGAGAGAGAGAGAGAGGCCGAGAGAGAGAGAGAGAGAGAGAGAGAGAGAGAGAGAGGAGAGAGAGAGAGAGAGAGAGAGAAGAGAGAGAGAGAGAGAGAGAGAGCGAGATGAGTGTTAAAGCAAAAGAAAAAGAAAAAGAAGATAGAGTAAAGGAGAAAAGGAGAGTTATCGCCTCCCTCCCTCTCCCCCCCCCACCCCTCACCCCCACCCCCGCTTAGAGGCACTCTTATCTGCTCTTATCACCCCCACCCACTCATGGGCGTCGCTGCTCGCACCATCCCGACCTCGGGCGGGAATGAGGAGGGTCGGCGAGGGAAAGATAACAGAAATTTGGTCGGGAGGCGTCGGTTGTAAGTCGGTCGGTCTGTCGGTCGGTAAGTAGGCCTCCTTTCGTGCACCGACCGAGAGAAAACTGAAGAAAAGGAGGGAGGCGGTGAAGGAGGCAGGAGGGAAGGTAGGGAGGGGTAGGAGCAGGGAAGAGGAAGAGAAAAAGAGGAGAGGAGGAGAGGACGAGAAAAAAGTGGAGTTAGAGAGGGGTCAGAGGTAGTGGTAAGGTAGGAAGGGAAGGAGAAGAGAGAAGGTAGATGGAAGGAGAAAGAAGAGGAGGAGGAGGAGCAGGAGGACGAGGAGTAGGGGAGGGGAGGGGGAGGGGAAAGGGGGGGGGGGAGTTTGCCGGAGGAGAGCATTGCTGACGTCATTCTGAGGTAACATCGGCGCGCTCTCTGATTGGTCGAGGCTGTCGTGCGTCATCCCGGCTCGTGTTCATTGGTTCATCTCTGTCGATTAGGTGAGTGTCTACCCTAAGCGTATGTAGGTATCCGTTATCCCTATTTCACGAATTTTTCCGAGCCCGCCGATAAGGGAACGTCCAGCCGGGAAGGGAGCGGCGGAGGAACGGAGGCGGAGGAGCCGAGGGGCAGGAGCTTCGAGTAGAGAGCTGGAGCGGCGGCGGCGGCGGCGGCGGCGGTGCTCCAGCCGGCGGACGAAACTTGTGAATGGCCGCCTACGCTCGTATCTCCGGCGCTCCAGCTGACTTAAAGATGGTATCTCAGGGCGGGCGCGAGAGAGGGGCAGGCGGTGCCGTGTCCGATGGGCGCGCTGCTCGTGGCCGCGGCAGAGGACACACGGCTCTATCTGCTTGCCTGCTTGCGCTGCCTGCACGCGCTCCCGCCGACGGCCATGCACGCAGCGGCAGCGCCTTTGTCTGCGAGAAACGTTCGGCTCGGAGGCGGCAGAGCGCTCGCCTCTTGCAGCGAATTCGCGATTTTGGGCCTTATGTCTCCCCGGGTCGGTCAGTCTGGGGTGCAGGGCGGGCCAGGGCAGGCGGGGTCACGGCGGTGGCTGACCTCCTGTGCACGCCGGGCGGAGGGAGGAAATTCTCTCTCTCTCTCTCTCTCTCTCTCTCTCTCTCTCTCTCTCTCTCTCTCTCTCTCTCTCTCTCTCTCTCTCTCTCTCTCTCTCTCTCTCTCTCTCTCTCTCCCACTCTCCCTCCCTCCCCTTCTCACCCATTAGTCACTCACACGATCTATCTACGCACGCGTCTATCCTCCATTCACCACTTCTTTCCCTTCTCCCTCATCCAATTCATCAACATATCACAACCACCACTATATCACAATCAGCACACCACCAACAACATCATCACCTCATCATTACCACACCACCATCATCATCATCATCACCACCATCATCATTACCACCATCACCACCACCGTCGTCACCTCCACCACCACCATCATCACCATCATCACCACCATTACATTATCGCCGACTGTCCACTCCCACCTCCATCCGTCTCCTTAACCTTCTCTTTATTACCCTTCCGTCCCCACCCCGCCCACGTTCCTCTCTGTCTCTCCCTCTTCCCTCCTTCCGCCCATCTCTCCATCATCATCACCAGTTGTCACTCCTCTTTTCTCGTAGCATTTATCGCACCATTCCTGTAATTCCTTTTTGTTTATCATGCTTGATTTAGAATTTACAGGGATATAATTGTGGGAATTTAATGGTAGGAATGTAATGGTGGGGACATGATGGTAGGAATATAATTGCAGGATTTTATTGATAGGAATATAATAGATTCTTGCTTTGTTAACTTTCTTTTCAAACAGCTGTGTTGTTATTTGTGTCCATAGGGGTGTCGATAATATCAATTAAAAAGGATAGTGGTTATGATAGTGTGATAATGATTAAATTAATAGTAATAGTAGTACACGTAATAACTAGTAGTAATAACTATAAGGATGGACCATGAGAATGATAATAATATCCATAAGAATACTGATACGATGTTAAACATACTGATAAGGGTTAAATGACGATGATCATTAAAATCAACAGACAGTTTTCTTGGTACGATGATGTTCGTAGAAAGATCCCGCGATTTTAAAACTATTTTTGCCGCTCTCTTATGTATATATATAGATCTAAACATTCGCTATACATTCATCTTCCCCTGAATGCTTTATCACCACAATTCGCACATCTACACTTACTGTTATTCGCACATCTACACTTACTGTTATTCGCACATCTACACTTACTGTTATTCGCACATCTACACACTGTTATTCGCACATCTACACATTGTTATTCGCACATCTACACTTACTGTTATTCGCACATATACATTGATTAGCCTCGGTGTCAGTGCCGGTTCGTGTGTATCGTATTCAGACATTTAATTATATTTATTTTTCGCTTTCGCCCAGTGGTTTCTAAATCAGGAAAAGGTGAACTGTGATATTTATGGAGGTTACCGTTTGAAATGCCGTGAGGTTGTTCCAGAGGCAGGTCCTTGTTCTGTGTCCTTGCTGCGTACTCGGGAGTTATTTATAAATCATTGTTAAATGTGTTATTTAGAATTTAGATTGTCATTGTTATTGCTATCGTTAGTGTTGTTATTGGTAATATTGTTATGGGTATATCGTTGTTAGTGTTTTTCTTATTCTTATTGGTTTTATTACTGTTGTTGTTGTTGTTATTATTATTATTATCAGTATTTTCATTATTGTTGTTGTTATCAGTGTCGATATTATCTTTATAATTATGATTGTTACCATTATATTTTTATCATTTGTTGTCATCCTCGTTATTTAGGAAAATGTAGATGCAGTACTAGATATATTTATTTATGTTAAATTCCTTTATTCATGTATTTATTTACTTATCATTTATTTATTTAATTCTGCATCAACCTATTTAGCGTTTACAGATAGTGACAGATTTATAGCGTGACCACGTGCAAAAGTCTGCGGACATGTCACGCCACATTTCACTACCAGCTGAGCATAAGCATGTACAGGACAGAATGCTAATGAAAACCTAGAAAATAATGTAATTACTATAGTGATATTCCATAATGATGATAACCACCTAGTGATAGTAATATGTATCAGTAGTAGGATGTTTTATCATTATTCTTTTTTTAATTATATACTTAATTCGACGTTTCCTATCGTTGTTTGGTTTTAACATTTTTCGAAGACAGTCGTTTGGGATTCGAACAGTTTGATGAAACTTCCTTGGTTGACGAGGCAATAAAGAGAAAGAGAAATAGACGATATTTATATCTACTTATATGAAATAAATATATATAAGTGTGTATGTGTGTGTATATATATATATATATATATATATATATATATATATACATATATATATATAAAAGTATGTATGTATTTATATATCTGTGTGTGTGTTTGTGTGTGTATGCGTGTGTGTGTGCGTGTACGTGTACGTACTGTGTGTGCGTGTATGTGTGTGTGTGTGTGCGTGTGCGCGTGTGTGTGTAGGTGGGCGTGGAGAGAGCGGCAGCGAGAGCGCACTAACGGGACGATCCTTTTTTCGTCCAGCGTCTAATATTATGACAGTCAGCCTCGGTTTGCGGGCCGTTGTGTCAACACCTGAAGTTAGATTTTTATAGGAACTTCCCGAACGAAAGGGTTTAAGGTTTAAATTGCGCCCGGTATTATTTATGTTTGGCTTCCGGTGTTTATATGACTTTGATGGTTTGTTAATACTAGGCTTCATAATGAACCTACATCTATCACGTGATTCGCTTTGCCGGTGAGCTGCTGTTTTCTACATCATCATCATCGCATATTATTTTATTTATCTTCTTAGTCTTATTATTTCATTCTTCTTTTTGGTCTTCATGTTATTTCATCCTTCTTCTTTTTCCTCGTCAGTCTCTGTCAATATTTTATGATTTTTTTTATCTAGTTTTTATCATTATTGTTGGTATCATAACGATAAGGACTGTGATGTGAGTCGATTTTTTCATCTCTCTCTCTCTCTCTCTTCCTCATTCTCTCAG